GCTTTTCCATTGGAAATGCAATCAAATGACGAAATATAAGATTGAATCTTATATATTGTAAATAAAAATTACTAGAAGCTTATGCTGAGAGCGTTTAAGAATAGTTTTCAAGAGATTTCAAAAAATCAAAAATTCGATCCATCTATGTCAAAATAATATCTAATAGGATTTTTACTTACTTTTAAAATGATGTATCAAATCGCGAACAGGAAAATATAAGATAAAAAATTTGCTTATTACAGCAATTACGTATTAAAAAAATGTCTAGGATCATCAATATAAAATTGACAGAGGACTTTACATCGGGGCTATATAGGATTGCCAGTCTGGCTGTCTAGTTTCAAGCTAAAATTTGATTTGTAAAATAGAAAAAGAAAACATTGCTGATTACGTAGAATGAATTGAATAACAGAGTCCTTTTGATGTTAAATTTTTACCACCTTGAACAATGGACGGTTCTATTGATCTAGAACCACACCTAGTTAATAGTCAAAACAGTTAGTCTTCATAAGAATGAGCTGATAGGGAGGAGAATATGACATTGAAGCTTCTAGGGCCTTTTGAGGTGACTTCCATAAAAATCACTTTACAGGCATTCAATACATTTTGCGAGATTTCCTCCATTTATATTCGATTAATTTGTTAAAAATAGAAATTCGTTGTGAACTTTTCTATAGAGAGAAGTTCCTTGGGTGGTGAATATAATCCTCTTAAGAGATCCTGTATAAGTTCGACACACTTGGGAACTCTTTTGTAGAGAGAAATCCCTTGGAAGTCTACTATGAAGGGATGACCTTAGATAAAATATCCCCTTAAAATCTTCTATATATTGAGATAATTATTATGGCTGAGAATATCCCATTTTGGATTAATAATTCGCTTGGAAATTTTGTACAGTATAAATTTGGAGTATATATTTTGCAGGGATTCTTTAAATAGAAAAGAAGACCCTTCATCTCTTCAAAAGTTTTCTACAGACATTTTATATGTAGAATGAAACCCTCTTTTATGAAATTAATAACCGTGGAAAGGCTTAAGAAGCCGATTCTGGGGAAGACTTTTACAGAAAGTATAAATATAATAGGATATTATAAAAATTGTGAGCTACGCCGCAGAATAACTTGAGATAAATGGAGGATACGAAAAAAATCTTCCAAGAAAATCGGCCAGGGTAATATTCATTTGAACATAGGTTTACACAGTGTAATATTTAAGCTAGTGAGCGGAGTAGTATAGTCGGACGATGCCGACCACATACCATAGTTCGCGATATTTGCACTCTCTTGACCGATTATATGTCAACAGCTCCGCTACGTCATCATTTGACCCGCTATATATTGATCTTCATTACCATGACAGTCAATCAAATTAGTTGATGAGGTCGCCTTCCCAATGGAAAGTTTTCGGTCTATTTCATCCCCGAAATATGATCTTATCATCATTTTTGACCATAACCTGAATCTGAAATTTTCTGGACATAAGCCTACATTCCCGTCCTCTAGTGTGGTAATGGTTTCCTCTGCATGAATCTACTACTTTTTACTTCGATAACGAATTTTTATTTATGATATCAAAGAAAATATTCAAATCTTGTGGAGTATGGGAACAGGCCGTCAGAAACAGTGAGTTAAATGATATAAATTTCTGAGGTCTAATGTGTCACAAACGTCGGAAACCCACCGAAAGCCATTATGTTTTTGACAATATAACTATTTACATTAATTTGGAAATTAGGCTTGCTTTACTCAAATCCATATCAAATTTCAAAATTTTCTTGTCCAAAACTATATACTACATTTATAACATTTTATGCAGGTATATGACGTTTACATCTTATTTGATAGTCGAAAACCTAAAATTTCATTACATCTCTGATAATATTACATAGACCCTTGTAAAGTCTAACTATATCTCTCGCATCCGGGTACGTACATCAATATAACAGATATCAATTTAAAGATCAACCGCTCCTTTTGGATGTACTATCAACTTATCGGTTCTGTATGTTTCGGGTTTAAATATATACGCCATAGAAAGCAAACACAAAAGTATGTGTGCTAAATATTGACCAATCTTCACTAAAACAGTCTTTGTCCAGATCTTCTTCCTCATGTAAAATTTCCTCATATTTGGATCATAATTGCGACCTCTGAAGGGACCAGAAAAACGGACCTAAAAATATGGGTATTCTTTGGTCCATAACTGTGGTCTGTATCGTGTTTACAATTTATAAAGGGCAGGCGGGCGGTCACACATGACTAGATCGACTCAGCTAGTCGAGAGTGTGGATATAAGTCCAATATTTCGCAGCGTTATAAACACTTGTCCATTTTTTTTTTCTTTTGTCCAACTTTATAAAACCCAATGTCCAGTCATTTGTGAATCTGCATCTGGCAACCCCAGGGCTATATTATATAATGAAACTCCTTAGAATAATTCCAATGTTACAATGATTGAATGCTGATAAATTATATTACAAGCTCCTAAAAGTATGCAATACATTGTTTAAACAACTACTACATACTGTTATATAGTGTTGCCAACCAACTACGTACTGTCGTTATTTCATTTTTATACCCTCCATCACCCGGAATATTCAACAGCGACCATAAAAAGTATAAATATATATTTTCTGGATCAAAATTAAATTCGATTTAGATTTAGCCATGTCCGTCTGTTCAAATCTCGAATGAGTTCGAGGTATTGCTTATTATTAAAAATTGTACTCTTCAATATTTGGTATTTTAAAGCTCTTGGGCATGTTTTTCAACATAATCATCATTAATTTGGTATTTTGGGCTATATATCTTCCTACTAAAATTTGTCACTCATATAACGGTACCTCCCAAATTTGTTAGGAGAGTATAAATACGTTTTTCGACCGAATTGCCTATAATTTGATTTTTTTCTCATTTGGTAGAAAAACTCCCTACCAGAAATTATCAATATTGACCCAGTCATTATTTGGAACTTTGGGGACGTTCGCACCATCATGTGATTTTCAACCGAATTGGCTCTAATTTTATATTTTCGATTCTCATTCGGTTCAAAAACTTCCTACCAGAAATGATCAATATTGGCTCATGTTTTGGGCTGGCAGCCAAAAAGCCGTAAACTCCATTAATCTGTATTTTGGGGACTTTGAGGACCATAATGTGATATTCTTATGGGGTGTCATTTGAAGTTTCATAAGTGATGTTTTTTAAACAACCCACCTTTTCAGGATGGGTTGTGCGGTCACCTTTTCAGGATGGGTTGTGTTGAGTTTTCTCACCGAAGGAAAAATGTTGTCTTTTGATACAAATCCCATATAAATAGGGACGCGGCAAATTTTCGGTACATTGAAGTGGCATTTCGTGTTCCTGGTGAATAAAAAAACATATTTCCAAAAAGTTGTCAATATATTTTTATGATTTTTATATCCTAACCTAGTATTCAAACTAAGTATCTCTAATTAGGATTTTCATTTTCCCACATAAACAGATTACAATCTACAACGACTTATTCACTCAACCACATGATGGAGAGTTTAAAAAGTTTCACCGGGCGAACATAACGACAATTTTACTTGTCAAAATGATAAATCTGATACAAGGGGCTACTATATATATTTCTGGCCCAAGCATAATAAAGTGTTGTCTAGCCCCATTTGACATTTCCATTGAAAAGCTTGAAATTTTTTAAACGTACTCTTTACAATTTCATTGCTGTAATTTTTCAGAACATTCGACGTGGTAATCAGTACATCGATTATGTCGATTATGTGCCTATTCTATATTAATGAATTCAAGCTTTGTGCAATAGCCCGATGCAAATCTAACATATGGGACTTCGTGGAAAAAGGATGACGAATCAAATGGTCGCTTGATGATCAAGTGGCGTCTTTTTCACTGATTGAGTAGAAAAATGCGGCCAGTTTTTCCCATTTTCTTCTAATAGATTTTCCATACACAGATCTTGACAGTACCCCTCTCCTGTATATGTTTTTCTTACCTCGTTCGAATCGGTCGTATGTGATTTCTCGCCCTTAATTGAATTTCTCTTTTTTAAGGAATCGACATATTCGAGTCTTTGATAAGCATAAGGTAGAATATATTCTTCTCTTAAACCACTACATGTGGCTGTGGCAGAATCACCATATTGTAGTAGGCTTTGATAATAGTTATGGGATTCAAAAAATTCAATTTTCTGTTTCATTTAGTTCGATCCTATAGTACTTCAAGAATGTTTCTTTAAATCTTCAAATGAAAATCTACTCTTGAAGATATGACCATTTATTGTGCCAGCGTCAAGTGACGACAATAGTGCTGCTCAAACTTTGAACGCATTTTTCTAAAATAAGTATTTTAGAGAATGGCGGAAATGATAACTCTAAAACTAGCTACATAGCTTTTATATAAACTAGGATAAATGTAATCCTTCAACATCTTCTTTATTTTCTTACTTGTTTTTCGTTTGAAAATAGAGAGTTAAAAAATTATTTAATAGATCCACCATTTCGTTAGTGTCCGACGTTCAACAGAAAATCAAAATAGTTTTACAGATGTCGAATTTCATTCCCATACTTGTGAAACCACGAAATGGATAACCCTGTATATTGACTACTATTGCAGCATACTTCTTAACTTCTTGATATTACCTGTTACATTACCATTACATCATTTCTCAATTAAGTTCAATACACACTTCTCGACAATGTTTATTATATTAAATGCGTGTGTATGTGTTTATTATTGTATTGATGATATCAAGTTCTACAATATTATCTTACACTGGACTAAATTGTTATTTACCATTTAAGTTTAACTTCTAATGCCAACATCCTATTTCCGTTTCCTGTTCCATATTTACGTTGTGTTCACTTGTGTGCTATGCGTTTTTTTTTTTCGTTTTTTGTCCGTTCACCATGGTCATGTTCAATCAATTTACGTTACACTTGCTATTTTCACTGCTATCCGGACTAGTCAACACCACCACCACAGCATGAACATGGTCATGGATACGACGACGACGACGGACACGCATTGCATCATCTCCCATGGAGTTGATTACAAATGAACTTTTCTGGCTCCTTGACTCGGTGTACAAATATAAAATTCAATATTTTTTGCAGCGTCTTTATTGAATTTCTTGATGAAATCCTCACGCATTGTGGTAATAACATTATCAACGGCACTCTGTTGCAGGAGTGTTACAGTGCAGCCACCGAAGCCACCGCCAGTCATACGTGATCCCAGGACGCCAGAGCAATTAATGGCCGCATCAACAAGAACATCCAATTCTATGCAGGATACTTGGAAATCATCACGTAGTGACATATGTGACTTTGTCATTAGTTCGCCCATCTGTGTAAAAGGGGAGGTGATGGGGGGTAGTGCCCATGCCGAACATGTAAAGAAACAAAGAAGCAAAAAAATAATGAAAAAAAGGATAGCATGGAGGATATAGTTGTTGGTCAAGAGAAAACAATACAATTCAAAATGAGATGAAATGCGAAAAAATATATATGTGTATGTGCCGACTCATGCATGCACATGAACATATATCTCGTTTAAAAACCGACTATCATCAGTTCCCCATTTTGCTAGTGAGTGCAATAGCAAAGCGTGTGGAAAAACAAGACTAAAGAAAGGAAACGCAATTGTGTTTGTGCAAGGACATGGAAGTTAAGCAAGCACGTCTTTTGTTGTTATTAGCAGGAGATGAAAAAATAAAATGAAAAAAAAAACTGAAACAGAAACGACTGACACTACAAACAACACATACGCAGTCAGTCGCCCATTCCCCCAAACATTCCCTCACCGACAATTCATACCAAAAAAAAAAAATAATAATAAAAATAAAAATAAAAAACTAATACAATATGGTCTGAGGTCCTGAGAGAGTTCCTTACAATTTCCTGTTAAATTAAATACTTTTAAAAGTCTTTTATTGATAATAGCTACAGGTGGCAGTCAGTGAATGTAATTGTATAAATAGTTGCCAAGGAACTATCGAGGCCATAGGCGTGAACATTTTTTCACAAATATTTTTCAAGTTCTTCTACATCAATCTTATTTGCGCTCATGCTCCGACGGAAGACAAAGATAAACAGACCAAAGACATTTTTTACGAGCGCCTAAAAATTGCCTATGACCGCCCTGGCCATGACATTAAAATTCTGCTAGGAGATTTTAATGCAAAAATCGGAAGGGAAAATATTTTTGGTCCCACGAATAAACATCCAACAAAGGCATGAGGTTGATTAACTTCAATCATCTCGATATACACAAGACCACTTGGATTTTTCCTGATCAAGCAACGAGAAATCAAATTGACCATGTTGTGACAGACAGAAGTCGTTCATCCAGTGTTTTAGACGCTCGATCGATCGATATTTTCAGAAAAAAGAAGAAAGAGCAAGAAAAACGTGAGCGTGATCAAATCGAGATGTACAGGAGTCAGAATGAAGTCCGAAAATTCTACCAACGTGTAAAACACCAAAGCGAAGGCTTTGGTGCAGGCACATCCTCCTGTAGAGATGAAAAACCTGATGACAGATACAGACACCGTGCTGAGGATCTGGAAGGAACATTTTGAAAACTTTCTGGTATTAAATAGTAGAGGTGAAGAGGATACCCCAGAACCAATATCAGATGACGGTATAGAATGTATACCACCTAGCCAGAATGATGTCTGAGTAGCAATCAATCGGCTGAAGAATAATAAAGCACAGGTGCCGATGGTTTACAAGCCGAACTATTCAAGCTGGTGGTCAGTTGATGGTAAGGAGCAAGCATTAGCAATGTGGTTAGAGGAAAGCATGCCCAATGATTGGAACCTCAGAATCCTGTGTCCCGTGCGTAAAAAAGGAGGCAAGATGATATGTGCCATTTATAGAGGAATAAGTCTCCTTCCCATCGCATATAAAGTGCTATCCAAAAATATGCTGCGTGAACGACTGAAGCCAATGTTCAACGACATTATTGGACCATACCAATGCGGCTTCAGACCTGGCAAGTCCACCATTGACCAGATTTTCACTCTGCGCCAAATCCTTAAAAAAAAACTCACGAAAAACACATCGACACATTCCACCTATTCGTCGATTATAAAGACGCATTCGATAGCCCTATCCGTTCAGAGGTGTTTAAAGCCATGTCTGCGTTTGGCATTCCTGCAAAATTAATTCGGCAATGCAGGATAACTTTAACTGGCACAATATCAGCAAGAATAGTCGGAATGGACCTCTCGGAGCCTTTTAATATCGAACGAGGATTCAGACAAGATGACAGTTTGTCGTGTGACCTTTTTAACATCCTGCTGAAAAAGGTCATACGACAGGCAAAGGTGAACAGAAATGGTACTATGTACACCAAAAAACACATGTTAATCGCCTACGCCGATGACATCGACATAATGGGTCGAACTTTGAGACCGGTAACAGCAACATTTGAACAAATTGAAAAGGAGTCTGCAAAAGTGGGTCTGGCAGTAAACGGCGAGAAGACCAAGCTGATGGTATCAACGCGCAAGACGTCCAGTAGACTCGGACCAACTGTGGAACTTGAGAACTACAGCTTCGAGGTAGTAAAAGATTTTATATACCTTGGTACCACCAAAAATAAAACTAATGATATCAGTTTTGAAATTTGGAGAAGACGTTGTTTTTTTTCAAGGACCAACACAAAACGTTGATTTTTTTCAAGGACCAACACCAGGCGTGGATTTTTTAAAGAATATTTTTTTCAAGGACTATTAATAGCAGACGTGGAGTTTTTGTTAAGGACTATCAATAGACGGATATTTTTTTAAGGACCTTCAATAGACATAAATTTTTTATATATATATATATATATATATATATATCATTAGGCGAAGATTTTTTTTAATTTTTTTTTCAAGAACCATAATTAGACAGAGATTTTTTTAAATATGTTTAATAGTTGAATTTTTAAAAGTATTTTCCTAAGGATTGTCATGGTCGTAGTCCTGGATTTTTTAAAAATATTTTCCATTATTCCGTTTTATTTGGCCATCTGTATTTCCTGCCTTATTACATTACCACGTCTTTTTATTGTGTCTAGGAAAACCCCAACTATACATTTGGTTGCCGATTTTTTTTTCTTTCTATATAAATTTTTTTATTAAATTATAAACATTGTGGTTCACTTTATGTGCATGGTGAGCTGGTGATTGCGTATGGAGGCAGTATAAATGTTGTTTCTTTTCTTTAGTTATTTTTTGTTTTTGTTGTTTTGCTGCTTCTGCTACTGTTTCCGACTAGATATTTGCTAAACACGGCATGTGGCTTTAATATTGGCGAACAGAGCAAAATATAAATCTCATTTGTAGGACAGTAAACACATTCACTCAGCGGCAACTGCCAAGGGAGTCCGACCATGACAAGGAGGAGTAGAGGTAAAGGAGACCTTTGGGAAATAAGATGTAGCTAGGTGGGTGTACACTGTACATACATTTCACTTGCTGTTTGTATATATATATATGTATGGGTATACAGTATGCATGATTGTTATTGTTATTAAGTCCCAAATGATATTAAAACCGCATACACAAAAATGAACCACCAGTACACTTTTGGGTTTGGTTTTCTGGAATGGTGGTATTCTATATATACATTTCTAATATTTGTTTATATATTTTCTTCGGGCACACAGAAAATGCGTTTTCTAGTGTGTAGATGTGTGTGTGAGTTTGAATATGGGAAGTTGTGCAGCAGTGCGTATGTCGCCATGTTTGTACTCGTGTGTGTGTTTATTTTATTTGATATGCAGAGTAAATAAGGGTATTTTCTTGCACGTAATAATTTTATGGTCTAAATAGCAAATAAAATTAAAGAAACTATTCATAGTGGCAGACATACACGAAGACATAGTTGTGTTCCGGATGCAAATGCAGTTGTACAGTGGACGTGAAAAGTTGTTAGCAAATAACGAAAAAGGGCTATAATCAATTGGGTGAAGAAAAATCTTGTCTGTTCTCGTTAATATGAGAAAAATATCTCATGTCCTCAGGGACATTATAATAATGGGCATTAATAATATTCAACTTCTTGGACTTGTAGTATACGTGGGTTACTATACATATTTCTGGCCTAATCAACACATTTCCAATGGAAAGTTTTACATTTTTCATAATCGAACTTTCATGGAAATTGTTTTCCAAAATATATTGAAAAATCAATTTGCCAAAAAAAGCTGGAAAAATTTCTTCAATATTCAACGAAGACCAGTGTTCATCGATGAACTTAAATCTTTATGTACGTTCTAGTAGAAATGTTCCTCAAAAACGTCGGTTGCTCCACATAACAACGATTATATGTGTGAACTGATTAAAAAAACTTTTATAACATCTTCACAGGTGGCGCGTGATTAATAAATGCATATGAGCTCGAATAAGCGTGTGGGTCTCCCTGTCCCTGACAATTCAAGCTCTCACATAGCGCCTCAAAGAAATTAATTTTCGACCGTAAATTCCTGACTTGACATCCAATGAAATCTCTTAATTTTTTCACTTCAAGAAACAAGTAAAAACGTCGTTAATTTCTACCGGACAGAACTTTTTATAATCTCCAGCATGTGAAGTGCTTTCAAAATTCTTTAAATCAGTTGATAAAAACAGAAACCTTCAAAATACGGAAAATGAGGAGTTTTGTCAACAAATGGACTCACATTTTTGTTAAAATATGTTTTTCTACCTCCAAGAACCTACAGCCACTTCGGTGGGGAAATGCAACTAAACTCCTCAAAATAATGAAAAAGAGGCTTTTATATGCACATATGTGGGACTCTATCAAAATTTGGACCTTTAGCAACAATTTAGTGAAACGATGTTTCTCACCCTCAAATAAACCATTATGCCAATTTACAGCCAATTCTTTGGGGAAATGAGACTCTTATATAGGACCGTGTCAAAACATGAACCTATATAAAAAATGTTCTGTAAAAATGTTTCTTAACGTCCGTGAAACCGGAATGCCAAATGAGAACAACTTCTGTTGGGACGTGAGACTAAAACCATAAAGATGCCGGAAATGAGGTATGTCAAAAGACGGACTTTTATTAAAATTTATTCCCCATATATGTTTCTCATCCTCCAAAAAGTCAATTTATATGGCGGAGCACAACGAAAATCGTAGTGTTCCACAACGTGGTACACTAAAAATTTTAGCGTATCGGCTGCGGTACACTAAACATCGAAGTGTGCCGACTGCGGTTCATTAAAAATCGTTGTGTTCCACTAGTCGGAACAATAAAAATCGTAGCGTTCCACTGTAGTTCACTACCACTACAGTGGAACGCTAGTAGATTTTATTATCTTTGGGGAAATTGAGATCAAATAAAAA